ACAAGAGAGCTGTACTGTATACTTTACCTGAAGAACTTCTACAACAAAGAACACAACAATTGACTCATTATATAATGTGGATTAAAACAATATTAACTTAAAAATGTCCACAGCTTGAGCCATGCATTCGGAAATATTATCGCCAACTATTTTGATAATCGAATAATGTTTCAAGTAATCTTTTGGTTTTTAGCCTTCGAAATATGAAGATTTTTCCGCTTTATTCCATTTAGTGTCATATTTAAAATAATATCTCTGGGTTTTGGAGTGACAAAAAAGCACCTTGGACTTCGATAAACTGGGATGGACCTTTTTTCTTACATTTAATAGACCAAAAAAAAAAGATGAATTGCTAAATGTCTAAAAATGAAATGGATATAAGTTGTAGCCTTAATGCTGTTCTTATTATTATGTCTCGAAAGGAGTCTTGTATGTAACACCGTTTTATTTTTCCTATACACCTAAACGCCAACACATGCAATAACAGTCCAACCAGTCTCACCTCGAGGACTGCTGATGTTCGGTCTGATCACAGAGCCGGCCCCCCTGCTGGCCTTTGCACTCCTCTCCCTTGTCTCTTCTGTCATTTGCATGAGCAGCCTCCGTTTGACCTTGGATCCTAAGCCCTGACCTTCACCTCCACTCTCTGGGGTCAGACTTTTCTCCTGAAAGAGATGACTTTTGTCGGACCCTGACGATTCGTGGAGCCACAAGCAAGACGGTGCGTCTACGTCATACGACTGGTTGAGAGAGGGTGAGTGGGAATCGTAACCTTCTGCAGTCGCCTCGTTCTTTCTCTCCGCCGGTAGGTTACTGGAATCCGAAAGCACGGAGACGTTACGTGAAGACGTCGTTGCGGACGGAACAATTCTGAAGACGTCGGGGATGCGCATCCGCTGCGTTACAGAGAGGAGGCATTTAGCTGTGGGCTTTCTGCTGCCACCGTGCAGTCCATGACTGTTTCTAAGTGCTTCTTGACATGTTTCTTTGTCCTTTCTTCTCTCTGTAGCTAAGGTTTTGGATAGCCTGAGTTCGCTAACATTAACAGCTTCTTTTGCCAGAACATCATTAGTGTCACTGATGCATGGCTCAGATCCAGTATCTTCAATCACGTGATTTAAATTGTCTAATGATAGCGGCTGTTCTCCGAGTCTTTGGTCTTGCTCCACCTCTTCATCATGCTTTATTTTGTTAAAACTGAACTGGTTTCGCGTGTTGCTGTCAGTTAGGCCAGGGCTTTCCAAGTTTTCTGACAGTGTGGACGCCAGATCTGAGATCAGTACTTTCAGACTGGACAGGTCGTACTCGAGCTGATCTATGTGCTGTGAGCTCTTGGCTAAAACGTTTGTGACACCACCTTCATCCGTGATGTTCACAGTGAATGGAACTAATGTGGGACTGTTTTTAGCTCCCAGGTCTTGAACCTTGTGGCTTTCATTCAAACCAGAATCGACTAAAACGTTCCTCTCTGAGGTGTCCGCCCCTTTGAGAGCTTCTCCATCTTGGATAATGCTTTTGCTTTTAACAGGACTCATACAGAAATTAGGGGCTGGAATAGTGTTATATTTCCCCAACCCATTATAAAAAGCTTTGGGACAGGTTGTCAAGTAACTGACTTCCTGATTGGGCGAGGTTTCTGTCGACGTGGGCTGTTGCTGGGGGGCGGGACTGATTTGGTTAGGCTCTGCTATGACATCTTGTGAAATATTCAACTTGTTGTTTTTGATTTCCGTTTCCTTCGCAACACTTATAATTTCATTAGTATGTCCATCTCCTTTTAAATGGGTGCTTTCCAGATTAAAGCTTGGCTTTTCCTCAAAAAACTCACTCTCATTTCCCCAGGATTTCTGTGCTGGCGTGTCCGCAGACGGGATAACAGTGCCTCTCCTCTCCTTCATTTTCTTTCCCTCATTCACAGTCGCCTTATAAGGAAATTCGTCATTCTCCTTATCAGAGAGGCTCTGCTCCTCCGCCCTTGCTTTCGTCTGTTCTTGGGTCCTCTCCTGCATTTTAGTGTTTTTGGCTGGGTTCCTAAGCATTCGCTGGCTCCGCCGGTACTCCTGAGATTTCTTCAGCAACGCCTGGAGGCTCATGCGATAAGGCTCCTCAGTTGGATTTGCTTCGTCTCCATGGTGTCCTGCTGGTTCGGATTTAATGCCGTTGTGCTGAATGTCTTGCTCTGTCGGTGGATTGAGATGAGTGCCTAATATCTGAGATAACTCCAGATTGTCTGAAATGCCACTGTTTTCTGATGAAGAGACTGTGCCCTCAATTCTGTCCAAACTATGATCATTGTCAAGTCCAATAACTGAAGAAAAGGAAAAGTTATCCCCACTCTCTGTGCTGTCTTGATGACTGCTTTTAGATGTCCCATCTTGTAAATGCTCACATATGATTGAATCCTCCTGGAGCGAGGTGCAACTCATGTCTTTCATTAATGTAAAATGACTACAAATTGCTGATTCTAGTCCACTCCTCTCTAATTCCTCTCCATCAATGGGAGGGTGGCTGATAATATCTGGCATCTTGGTGATTGTGTTTGAGGTGTTTTGGAGGAAAAGGCCACCCATGTTATTACGATAAGCTCCCTCAGATGAGCCAAAGCTCTCTCTCTCGTCATCAATCCTTTCAGAGACATTGGAGCTGTTCTCAAGATTCTCAAAGGTCACGTAACCGGACGACGCTGACTGTTGGCCTGGCTGTGAAACCTGTTGGCTGTTGTGTTGTTTAATAAGGCATTCTTTCTGGTAACTTTCCTGAGTTGTCACATCAGAGGCAAAATAGGCACTATATGTAGTTGATGTCAATGGAGGAAAATAAACACCATCCTTGTCTTTCTCTCCAGACAGCAGTGAGGGTGAAAGGCTTTCCTTTGTTCCTATGAATAAATTACTCTGCAACCCCGATCCAACGGTGGTGTTGCCGGAATGTGAAGATTTTTGTTTTATCTCCGACTCTTGAAGCAACTCCTGCAGTGTTGGTGTTTTCCTGAGCTGTAAAACATGGAAAGGAAAGAATGTTTAGACAAAACACAAATATAGGAAGTTTGCGGATGAGGATAGCTGAAAAGTAAGGACTTATATTACCTGAACACTGTGGAGGATAGTTTGCACGTAGGCCATTCTTAAATCATCTTTCATCTTCCTGTGGACAGTAGCTTTCTGCGCTGCATCTCTGTGTCGCTGCATCTCCTCTCTCTGCCCCCCTGAGAGCTGTTATCATCAGAAAGCAGACATGAGGCGTCATGCATGTGAAACAACACCTCATACAACTTCTTTGGTCTATAAAACAATAACAATGAAAACTGTCCATCACAAATTCCCAGTGCTTTGTATGAGGTGACAACTGAACATAGCTTTGTTGTCCAATCAATATTTGAAAACCCAGATAAAGATATACCAACTTAACAATTATATAGAACATGGCAAAGCAGCAAACCTGACATCTGAAAAGCTGGAACAACCTGCCCGATTTTCAGTAAATAGTAAAGGATATTGAATTACACCATTGTTCCTTAAAATCAGTGAGTTGGTAACAAGAAATATAAGGTATGCTACATACAGTCACAGTCTTCAACCGTGTTTTTAGTGCCACTGTGCCATGTTAGCTGAGATTATAACCCCGAATCATGTGGATTTTAGCAGAAATAAAGCTAAACTCGTACCAGGGGAGGAAGGATGGGTCGTCCATAGAAGCGGATGAGAGAGGAGGCAGGTGGAGGTTTGTTGTCTTCCTCCTCACTCTTCCTCAGATGGGAGGGACAATGCTGAACAAACTGGTCGTAGTCCTCCATCAAATTGCATCAGTAAACGGTAGGTAGAAACAGTTAACTTACGCTATTACGCTAATACTTTATAGTAGCTGCTGAGCTGTAACCCTAGCTTGCTGGCTAACGAGTTAGCTGCTGTTTGGTTAGCGTTCAAAACCAAAATGCCGGTAGAGTAGTATTTCAGTAATATCTATTATAAATAGAGTGAAGAGAAGCTACAGAAGAGCAGCACTACAGTGTTACATTTGACAAAAGAGAAACAAAGTCTAAAGAGCTACCAAACACAAACTCTCCATCAGGATGGATGTTTGTTTACATTTTTACCCGCCTCTCCTCGCGCAGCAACAAACTGACAGTTGGAAACCGCCGCGGCGCCATGGAAACACGGAGTGGATTCACAGTGTGGACAGGGAGGTATACAGCACATTCATCAACGAATAAAGCAATTTACAACACAACACACAACTTTAATCAACAAAGACTCCTATTATATTAACTAAACAAATGAAATATTCGATGTCAACGATACTGAAGCTAAGTTTGTATTGATAAAGAAAGACCAAAAAGCCACATCGCTCCGTGTTTTCACAGGATCCGGACCTGTTGGAGAAGAAGGGGCAGACATAACTCGGTACCGCCACCTACAGACACAAATGTGTGGTTTATATAGCACTGAGATATAAAATATACAACACCAAATCATTTGTAGTTAAGTTGTGGAGTTGTGGTCTATTGGCACCCCAACAATTGGAATTAAAAATTACAAATCATAGGTTGAGCATCGACTATAGATTCCATATTTTCTTTATCTTTTAAACCACATTTTAAGTTGACACAGCAGAAATGTGTCGGTTTTATGTTTTATATTGAAAATCTGTATTTGTCAATTGTATTTTTCTCTAAATTATGTGCTAGATGTAATATAGATAGCATTTTTAAAGCAATCAAAATGTGAAAGTATCAGGGCATATCAGGGATATTATATCTAAATAAATTATATATTTCCAGTATTATTTTACTTTTGTTTTTAAATATAAGTTGTAAATGGCTGTTAAAAGGCTGTCAATGGTACATGTATCATTATTTACATAATAAATGTTATTTGGAATGAGGAAAATGTTAAATAATTGTGTGAAAGTGTAAAAGTATTTCCCTTTTCCTTAATTAGCCTTATTAGCCTTAGCTGAATAATTTCCAATGTATATATGATATATATGGTACACAACAGCTGTTCCATTTCAAAACATGTTTATTGGTCATATACAAAATAAAGTAAGCTGTTTATCAACAAACATACAGTATATACATCAATAAATTAAAAGATGCACCAGACCGATGATGAAACATTTAATTTCATGGTTACCAATACCTTGTCATCATCACCTCACATATCTACAAATTGCAACAAAAAAAGAAGTACAATAATTTAGTTGAAGATAAATACTTACAAAGACTGTCACATTTAAAGTATTTTCCCGTATAAAGTACTGTCGTAGAACAATTTATTACACCCCTTACAGAAATATTACAAAACACAGAATTTCCTATTACAAGTGCTTTTTCTGAACAGGCTATGCCATATTCACACAGTTACTACTTTTCTATAGCTTTAAACTGACCATAATATACTTTTAGAAACACAAACATATCTCCATGAATAACCTGTCCAAATGATCACATGGTTTAATGGGGGGGAAAACATTAAAGTAGTAAAAATAGAGAGACTGTTACAATGACAAGCAAAACATAGAAATAAGTGAATGTGATGTGAAACTCTGGGTAAGTATTGTAGGCTAGAGGCTTTGCAACTGATAAGGGCAGAGAGTAAGAGAGAGCAGCAGAAGGAAGTACAAAACCAACATTATTATTGATGACAACACCAAACAAACCATCAAAGGAATCCTTGGTTCATTTACTCTCATCGATCGGCATTGGAGGAGGGTGAAAGGGCTTTTAAGGTCCTGTGGCGTGAATCAGTAGACAGGAAAACAACTGATTGACTACATACTGTTCATCCAGGCAGGAAGATAAGAAGTTAATGATTTACGTCTTCTAGAAGAATCTGAGGTTTTGTAGAAGTGCTGCTGAGTTAACTCGCTGACACTTTGTAAAGAGGGCTGGGATAAATGGAGTGGGGTTTTATCCGATGTGTCTCCACCACTCCTTTCTGCCTCTGTCAAATATTTATGGAAGCAAGTTTAGGAGCTTGGATTTGTAATGAAAGGTCTCTTCATACAGAGGGTATGACCCCTGTACAGGCAGAGGGAAATAAGGTCAGCGTTGTCTAACAAGCCCATAAACTCGGTTATGAAAAGCCACCAAGATGCTCTGTCTGATAATCGGCCTATTTGTCATCTGATCGTTTCTGCTGAGTGAACATTCGGGAGAAATATTTCACCCTGACTGTAGGAATACAACAAAGTCCGGAAGACAAAAGTCGTGTTTTTCTTGAGTTCTTTTAGATTTCTCCTTCTCCTCAAATGGAAGTTGATCAAACCTCTATGATGATTTCAATGTTTTCACAGTTGATTGTTAAGTGACATGGTGAAAAAAGCAATGTAAGCCACAACACATAAAAGAGAGACAAACTGGTGCTGGCATTCACAACCACAAATGGATTGATAACTACAGCTATTTAACATGTCACATCACACCTGCTTTTATAAAAGAGGCAACTCCACTCAACAGCTACCAATGTGTCACTCCTCCTGGGAGCAGGAGGTCTTTTTCTTGATGATGTTTCATGTCTATTAAACAGCAGCCACCATGTGAACAGATCTTTGCTTACACAGTATGCATCGTTTAAAAACAACAGGAGCATTCATATCATAGTGGGTGTTACGTAGGCTTTCACAGGCATCAGGACGTTTCATCATTCTTGACACCGATACACCCTTAGTGGTTTTCCCCTCTAATGGATACCACTATGACCTCACACACAACACAGGATGAGCCAGAACAAATTCATTACAATTTAAAAAAAAGAAATTACAAAAACTCCATCAGGGAAATATAATAATATTATTCCGAGTACACAAAACAGGACACATTAAAAAATAAATTACAAATAAAGAGCACATACATAAATATGCTGGGTGTGATACCTATACTTGCTTGTGGCTGAATACCATGGAGGATATTCCTGTGATAAGACATTTCAATAAAATGACTGAGACATTTTTATTTTGACATTTGTAGTCCTCAAATGTCACGGTTAGCTTAACATACAGTGTAAAGATGAAAGATAAATAATATGTTTTAAACACATTTCCCTACCAATGCCTTTGTTCACTGTTCACCTGTTTGATTTGATATTACCGTCGATTCAGACACACATCGCTCATCTTAATAACTGCACAGCAGTAGGCTGGTTAACCACGTTTTCTTCACAGTGGAAAAGGACCGGTTCAGGACAAAGGCTGCATGTATGGTCTCTCGTTATATCATGTCAATTGCTTCTATATTTCGGTAAATTATTTATATCAGGTTTCCATTAGTTTAAAGGAAAAACAATCCAGTTGAGGCAATTGGACTTTGTGAAGTAAACCTAACTCTTTGACAGACAAACCATTAAACAGCAGAATACTTTTTCACTTCATAAAACACCAAATACGTTAACAAATTTCACTTCCCTGACACTTACAGATCAAAACAAAACAGGAACAATATATATACAGAACTATGTCAAATGTACACCGCAAAAACAAGATGTTTTCTCATCACACATTACAAAAATAACCTATTGATGGAGCAGGGGGTGGTGCAGCACAGGCCCATTGTTGAGTTTTACATCGCTATTACTTTACCGGATGACTTGAATACACGATATATCATGAAGCCTGTGAGGTTAACCATGACACTTCCTCATCTCATCGGTCAATAACTAGCTTTTAACGCTGCAAGGACCAAAATAAAGCCGCAGACATCCTGTTCAGAAATATGTGCTAAATGGACTTGAGATGTACAAATGATGAGTGCAGATTAGGAGCAGATAAACATGGTGTAACACGTCTGCGGTGCAGGAGCTGAGGGAGGACAAAGATCTTCTGATTAGAGAAAGTGACCTACAGTGTCATCCCCCGCTTTGGCCTGAAATCAAACAAGGATCAAAGTCATATCCATGAAATAGTTATAGTTACCTCGTCACATACCTACACAGCACACCACACGCTAGTTCACGGTCACAAGAGAAGAAACAAAGCTATTCAGTAGTTAAGCCACTTTTGGTACAATTGCAAAATAGAGAGATACTGTATATCAAACAGATTTTGTTACACCTATTTTTTTTTTTTTTTTTTACAGGTCGTTACAAACAATGCAAAGATAATTGTCTTTATAAAATTCCAGACTCTACCGTACATAGACACAGATTCTTGGAGTATAGAACACCACGTAAGACTACTTTGATGGTAAAACTGTGACATGACATCCCATTTGTGTGACCTTTCATTCAGAGAATAAGCATTGCTGGCTGACTGCAGTCAGTGAGAAGACTTTGTGGTTCAAAGCGAGAGAAAGCAACATTAACCGCTTTGATTAGAGGCAAGAATGTTGCTGTAGGTGAAATAACCTAGATTTTTGAGTCAGTAGCCAATCAAATTCATAAACACGCAAACCATATTATTAGCATAAAACCGGTTTTTACTCATAACAACTTTCCAAAAAGCTTGTTCTGTAAAAGAAAATGGCGCGGTTTTGTCAATACTTCTTGTTCTTTTCTTTTTGAAGGAATACTTCACCAACAAAGTGATGACTCGTCCTGTATTACCTTGAGCTCTTGAACAAAATTAGCATACCCCCACAGTGATAAAAGAATCCAAAAATGGAAAAAAGTCCAATTTAATTTCCAAATAATAATGGCTGCGTTTTTAAAACAGCAACATTATATGTAAAAATGTGTTTACAAACTAACACAACTTGTAAAGTGTAATATAAGTCTCATTTATCCAGTTGTGTGCCCATCATTTCCAAATACATGAATTTACCAAACATTTTAAGATTTAAAACACTTCCGCATTAATAGTCTCACTCTTGAGCAAGTCCAAAGTGTATAGAATAGTAAAGTTTTAGCACAGATATATTGGCTTTGCTGTTCTAAAATGTGGCCCCAATTGACTTAAAATCACCCAAATGTTTATACGATTTTTGATTCTCCATTAATGGTGGGGGTTTCCGAAAAAACCCAAAGATTTGTTCAAGAATCCATGGTGATGCGGGGTAAGTATTAGATGTTGAAATATATATTTATATTTAAGTTTATGAACTGCCGAGTCACATAAATGGGTGTAATTGATTTTTATAATCTTGCTACTACACAGCTCATACAACAACGCACAGTTAAATGCTGCCACAACCTGATTCCTGATTGGTCAGTGTTTCACATTAAGCACAGGTATATAAACAAACAACTGCATTGAATCTCCACCGTCCTCCCAGAATTCCTCTTGCCTTTGAGTTGATGCATATCATCAGGAGACCAAAGGCACTTGCCCTTCCAATTTTTTTCAACATACTTTTGAGAGACAGAAGACAACTTTATCTTGATTCAGCCCTGGTGTTCAAAAGACCATTTCCCTGAAGATTCCTATAAACTGAGATAAGGTCAGTAACCTTATCTCCTTTCCTCTATAGTATGTTGTGTTTTTTGGTAAATATCAATTGCCTTATCGCCCTTCTTTCTGTTGGATCCAGGAAGTACTGTGTGTAAGAATGGAAACCAGTTGGAATTGAGAAATAGAAGGACAGAGAAACAATAGGTAAGAGAAAGAGAGCTGTACATAGAAAGTGAAGAGATCGTGAACAAAAATACAGCTAACTAAATATAGCAATACCAAACACGCGCAACAGAATTTCACAGAATTCCTGATATAACAATTGACGCACAGAGAATACACTTTGGACCTCATGTGAATGACAACACGGTACAAAACAGTAGAAATACAGTCACCACCATTGTGTAATATATATTTTCTCTAGTACTTCTCTTAAAAAGTTCTTGGCTAGGGTGGAGCATGATGGGACTGAAATCAGCAGGTCACGGGGAATCTTGCGTATTCTGTTGGAACTCAGGGTCCCAAGATTTTTTGAGAACTACATAAGCACCATCTTTTTGGCTCTAATACAAATGTTGTGTGTTTGAATATCTTTGTTTGGGTGGCATAGGCCTGTCACGATATTACATTACCGACCTAGATTTGACTTTGTTAAGATTCAAATGTAAACAACATGTTAGCCAATGTTTTTTCCCGCCCGTAAAAGGACTTCGGCATTGTGCAACACACAGCCTGAGAGTCTATTTGAATCATTCTTTTATTTATTAAGGATATTTAAGTGTTGTTCACTTTCCAATTCCAATGTTTGAATATTAAATAACATTTTAAATAAAGTAGTTATCACGACATGCCTAGTGTAGCGAATTCAAATGTTCTACATCTTGGTTTGAATGATTTTTCCAAAGTATTTTGGGCATTGACATTCTTAAATGTTTCCCCCGTGGCCTGGTGTAAACCTAATCTCAAATTCTTGGACTTTTCCAGGTTTTCAGTGACCGTGGAAACCCTGTGTATCTGTCCTGTCTTAAATGATCATGCGCCGACCAAGGACTTGCATCTTTAGAGTCTCAACAATCTTCCACTGCTTCCACCCTTTCCTCCAGCTGCACTGATCTGAGACAGGTGATGGTGCTGAGGCGATGTGATGGAGAGCGCCCAGCTGTTTGACGTCAGTGCAGGTGGAGGACAGGTGGTCGGCAGAGAAGAAGAATGACTGCGCCCCCTCATCTATCTTTCCCTCCCTCAAGACCGTGCATCTGTTTTTGACTTTACTATTGTGATCACGCTGGTGGCTGTTGCCATCTTCCCCGGTATGAACGGGCCAATGACTGACGACGCCATGCCTCCCCCTCCTCCTCCCCCTCCCCCCCTCACTCCGACCCCCACAGAGGGGCTCCGTGCCACAGTCCTGGCGAAGGTCTGCAACGCCTCGTACTTAGACCTCAGAGCGTCCAGCTCCGCGCGCATGGAAGCGTTCTCATTGGCCAGTTTGTCCACCTCCTGCTGCAGCACGCTCTTCTGCTTCTCCAGCTCCTCCTTCTGGGTGACCCTCTTCACCCGGCAGCTGGCGGCGTAGCCCCGGTTCTTCAGGGTGCGCCGCCGTTGTTTCAGTTGCACGATCTCATCCTTGGTGAGCCCTCTGAGGTGCTGGTTCAGTTCCCGCACTGACATGGTCACCAGCTCGTCGTCCGTGAGGGTGGTGCCATTCTCCCCCGGCTCACGCTTCACCTGGAGCAAGCAGGACGAAAAAAGGGTCGTGAAACAGAACCACATCTCAAACATAGAGGATTAAGCGTAAAACATATGCGGCCCTTTTACCTTCAAGGCTTTATTTCCTTTGTTAGTCGTCGTCATGCCACAAGTGCCTTGCTCTTCTGAACACACCTACGGAGACAAAAGAGAGTACGAAGCATTAGCATAGAAACACCCAAAAAGCAGTTCAAGTTCTGCGTGTAGCCAGGTAACAGAGTAATAGCATTAAAAAAGAAACATATGGTTCCTTGAGATGAATAAGATTAAACCAAGTGTGAGTCAATACCCACCAGGACCAGTGGAGATACACCAGTTTGATATGTACTGTTGGAGCCCTGTTGTGAGAGCATGTTGCGTTTCATGCATGCTTGTCACATTGTGAGAGTGAAAGTGACACACAAACCTTTCTTAGAATTTCCCTGACTTCCTGTTCCTGGTGGTTACACCAACAGTGCCCACCACCTTTGTGTTGCTGAACTCTTATTGGTTGGATTTAGGCCAGTAGGAATGAGTGTAAAAAATGAATAGGAAGTGGTGACATTGGTGGGAAGGATCTCAGGGGAAAACCAACAGTTAGAGCCCCCACACACACACACACACACACACACACACACACACACACACACACACACACACACACACACACACACACACACACACACACACACACACACACACACACACACACACACACACACACACACACACACACACACACACACACACACACACACACACACACACACACACACACACACACACACACACACACACACACACACACACACACCATAGTGACTGTAGTGTAGAGACAATAGAGAATGTGTAATGCAGGTATAGACCTACAATTACTTGAGATACAAATGTAGGTAAACCAGATTAAATGATGTTTACGCGTTAGTACCAAAGGGGAAACAAGAGACAAAAGGATGTAGAGAACACAGTGTGACTCAGACGTCAACAAAGAGGGAGCCTGGAAGTGAAAAGAGATGAGATCAGTCCTCAGTGCGCACAGCTCCACAGATGAGCATCTCCACAAGCTCTCAATGCGATGCTTTGTGTGGCGCGTTGACCGGCTCTCATCTCTCAGACCTGTGTGTGTGTGTGTGTGTGTGTGTGTGTGTGTGTGTATTCGATAAAGGGCGGCTATTGTTGCTGCTGCTGAGCGATCATCATGAGAGTCATGATGAATCAGCAGATTCCTGATCTCACCCCTTTCCTCCTCCTCCTCCTCCTCCTCCTCTCTCTCTCTCTCTCTCTCTCTTTCTCCTATCCTGCTGCACACATTTCTTTATTCCCCCTCAGATTTGACATCATTTAAAACCTTCCAAGTCCTTTTCTAAAAAGCTTAGGGTTTTGCCCAAAGTATAGCTGCAGGCTGAGGAAAGCCTACAGGGCAGGAGGGCGGTCACATAAAGGCTGTGCTTGAATGTGATTGGCTGTCTGACGAACAGAAACACCTCCACACCTATACTGCTGAATCAGAGTTTTAGTTGAAGCTATTTGCTGATTAAAGACAATCTGTAAGCATTTACACATCAGGGTCTCTTTAAAAAAGTAAGAATTTGGAAATGTGATATATTTCTTCAGTCCTTCAAAAAAATGGAAAACTCTCCTCATTAAGAGGTGTGATGACATGCGACAACGTGTCTATTCCTCTTTCATTCTTATTCTTTTCTGTCACAAGGCAATGCACTGACATGCCACTGAACCTCCCCCACAATGCACCTGTCTGCCTGCCTGTCTGTTAGTGTTTGTGCGAGGCTGCCACAGATCCTACAGTTATAAATAGCTGTACATCACAGAAAAAAAACATACACATATACAAGTAATCATCATGCACACAGCACGTCAAGTCAGACATCTGTCAGGGAGAAACCGAATAATAATCAAATGCTACACTTTTCCCTACATGGACTTTTGCTAAAGCATTATTCAAAGAATCAGACTTCAAGCACTCCTTCATAAGTAAGGGTCAGACAATTCATGGAGATTCTTCTTCTTCTTCTTCTTCTTCTTCAATAACCAAATGTCTTTCATCCTCGTGTAGCGCTGTAGCGTTGCGTTTTGTTGGGATGCAGCCTTCCACAGCTGGAGGTGTATCATCGCACAATAGATGGATCAAAGACGTGAAAACTGAGGGTGGCTGCTGGGGGTGGGGGAGGAACAGAGAGTGGGAGGGTGGGGGGGAACAGAGAAGGCTGTTTCCCTGCCAGGCACTGGTTTATTTCCCCTGTGCCCAAACCCCAACCCCCATAACCCGTTCTACGTGCAAACAAAAAGCATGCCAGCAAGAACACACACACACGCACAATCCCCCGCCGCCATGCCAGTGGGGCACAATAAAACTCACACGTAAACGCTTGCTTGCAAGTACACAAAGTGCAAATGTGTGGTTCTGTTTAAAGTGCGAAAGAATGCTCGATACGTGTGGAATTGAGCTTGCTGTGCATGAATGGTTTTATTCCATACTTGACAAAACATAATTAAAATGTCTTAGATAAAAGCAACTAGCAAATGGAATAACTGCAGGTGCACAAAAGGTCATTGTAATATCCATATCAAAACCATTACAGATCCTTAATAATCATTTGACTTTAAGGTCACTTTGAATAATCGTCACTCATTTGTTGTGGCTTCTAAATTTGTAAATCAGAGAACAAATTCAGGTTGAACGAAATGAAGAGACTTTTGATTGAGTCAAGTCAGGTACACTGATTTACTGACTGAGGTAAGAAAGAATGGTTTGTGTGCTTTGACAACAACTAATGATTATTCTCGTCATTGATTAATGTATGTCCTTGTGGTCTCTAGAGGAAAGGTCAAGTTCCTTGTTTACGTTGCTTTTCTTTTAATGTATTAAGTTTAATATTGGACAAGATAAAGACAAATGGCATCTGTTCACATTTGAGAAGTTTGGGGATATGTCATCAAGGTTAGACAACAAACCTGACCTACACAACAGCAGTAAACTGTGTGTGTGTTTCTGTGTGTATGTGTGTGTGTGCGTGTGTGTTGTTAGAGAGCTGAGGCCATGTGTAAGTCATCCAGGTTAAGGATCATCTGCTGAGCAAAGGCATCGCCATTCATCTTGGGCGTACACACACAAACACACACACACACACCCACAGAGTAACACAAAGTGCCAGAGGTGTCCTTCCCATAATGCTTGCGGGTTGGTCGCTGCGGTGTGGTCAATGCCACAGCCACTGTTGCTACAACACACTGCTTTTTTGCTGTGGCAGGCTGTATTTTTATGGAGCAACCCACAGAACGCTGACAACTCGAGAGCAGAGCTGCTTACAGTTACAGTGGACAGACAACACACACACACACACACACACACACACACACACACACACACACAAAAAGGATGGGACATGGGGACCGGGATGGAAGAAGAGATAAGAAGTGATGGAGACGAGTAATATAAAAGCTAGAGGAGGAGAAAGCGGGGGGGGGGAAGAAGGTGAGGAGTTGGTGGGATAGCAAGGTGAAGACTAGGTAAGAAAGGAGGAGGGGGGGGGGGTGCTGGTGGAAGGAGGGGGCGAAGGACTGAAAAGAATGCTGACGTCCTCCAGAGCTGATTAGCGTTACAGCGGAGACATCACACCCACAGCCCAGAAAAATGCTGAGTATGAGGACGGGGTGGGGGGTGCAAATGACAAGGGAGAAAGAAGAGAAGGAAAAGAGAGAGGCAAGTGAGGAGGAGGATAAGGAGGATGAGGAGGGGGGGACAGCGGAGGGGATAGAGGGAGTAACGCCAATGAGGAGGAACAGGATGGGGAGGGGGGGGCAGAGAAGGAGGAAGAAGAGGGGGTGGGAAAGTGTTTGGGTGAAAATGCATCCTCAACACATTTGTAAGAGCTTAGCTGTTGGGTACAGAAGGGGGGGTGTAGGGGGGAGAGAGAGAGAGAGAGAGAGAGAGAGAGAGAGAGAGAGAGAGAGAGAGAGAGAGAGAGAGAGAGAGAGAGAGGGGAGGGAGGATTGGATGGGGGGGGATTGGGGTCGGTGAAAAAACCCTGAACTCAGCAACGACCATGACTAACACCTCCAATTAGAAAAGTTTTGAGGCTGATCCAGGGCAATGAAACTACCACACACACACACACACACACACACACACACACACACACACACACACACACACACACACACACACACACACACACACCTCTTGGCAAATCAAGTCCTAGAGGAAGGAGGAAAACAAGAGTAATAGCGTGGCAGGAGGTGAACACAGAGATCATGGGGGGTTCACAAAGAGATTAAAAGTGCACAAGACGTAGAGCAACCACTCGTCTCTCTTCAGAACAGCGTGAGGAGCTGTGTGTGTGTGTGTGTGTGTGTGTGTGCGTTGCCGTGCGTCTGCTGGCTTCAGACTGAGTTCTAATTAATCTGGTTTGAGACAACCCTTCGCCACTACCACCACACAGAGAGGAATTTCTTAGAAAGAGGCTTCCTACGTAAAGCTGGTGGCATGCACTCACACACAGCGGAATAGCCAGATTAGACGCTCCAAAAGCGACCCGGTGTGTGTGTGTGTGTGTGTGTGTGTGTGTGTGTGTGTGTGTGTGTGTGTGTGTGTGTGTGTGTGTGTGTGTGTGTGTGTGTGTGGGTGGGTGTACATAAGCATAAACAAGGGAGCACACAGACAATGATCAAGAATAGACTGTAGAGTCACACGTCGCTTGTGATGCAGAGGCAAGTCTGTCTTTATTGAATAATCCCAACAACAGCCTTAACGGCGCCTCCTCCCTCAGGCAACTCTCCGAGCAATAATGTGGAGCACAAAGGACGGCGGCCGCGAGAGGACCTGGTGGAAAGACACAAAGAGAGCCAAGTGTAGGGACCCTGAATGAAAAGCTCAGTGCACCACAACACTCCTGGCTCCGGCCCACCTTGGCTCTGTGTTCAAAAAGATCATTGATCTAGGGAGGGCCGAGGGTGTTGAGGGAGTTGGTGAATAATTAACCACGAGCACGGTGTGCAGGCTAATTGAGAATCAGGAATCAGATCAGCGATAATGGCAACCTGTGCATATGGGGGCAGGCTCTCAGCAGAGGTATACAGGGCCATGGAGAGAGGGGGGGGTAAAAGGCACCCCAGTTTGAGCCGGGGTGTGTGGAGAA